TAAAAGATGGAGTCGAAGCGCTTGGAGAAAACGCTTCAGAAGAAGAAAAGAAGAAACACACAGAAATTGAGAAGCTGAGTTATAAAACACTCTTTATAATTCATCAATGTGTAAGTCCATAAAATTTTGAAAAGGTAAGTGATTCAGAATCTGCAAAAGAAGCTTGGGATGTTCTTGAGAAGTCCTTTGGTGGTGCAGAAAAGGTGAAAGAAGTGAAGTTACAAACTCACAAGAGAATATACGAATTGCTTCAGATGGAAGATAGTGAGAGCATATCTGATTTCTTCACTAGAGTTACAAAACTAGTGAATCAAATCAAGGTATGTGGAGAAATATTAACAACAAGAGCTATTGTTTCGAAGATCTTGAGATCTTTAGCTCCAAAGTTCGACCACATAGTGGTGGCGATAGAAGAAGGGAAAGACTTATCGAAATTGACAAAGGAAGAGATTCAAGGGACGCTTGAATCTCATAAACAAAGAATGAATGAAAGAGCTGCATACAAATCGAAGAATGATATGGCCTTGCAGGCACATTCAGCAAAAGAAACCAAAGTCAAAGGAAAATGTTTCGATAGAGGTAGAGGCGGCTACAATAAATCGAATGATAGAGGAAACCAGAACGAAGAAAACTTTTCGAATAAAAAAAGACCACACCAAGGTAACCAAAGAGGTGGTGTTGCAAATAGAGGAAGAGGTGGTGATCGAAAACCTGATAAGAGTCACATTCAATGTTACAATTGTCAAAAGTATGGTCACTATTCGAGTGATTATCCAGAAAAACGAAAGAATCAAGAAAGTGATGCAAAGCTTGCAAAATATGAAGAAGAAGAGATGATGTTGATGGTCACAACAAGAGATGAAGATAGATTCAAGGATCAATGGTATTTGGACTCGGGATGCTCATCACATATGTCTGGAAGGAAAGACTGGTTTATCAATATAAAGCCCTCAATAAAAAATATGGTAAAATTTGCAAATGACAATACCCTAGCAGCTGAAGGTATTGGTGATGATATGATTATGAGGAAAGATGGAAAGAGGTCAGTAATTTCCAATGTGTTGTACATACCAGGCATGAAGAGCAATTTGCTCAGTATAGGGAAGTTGGTTGAAAAGAATTATAAAGTGTCGATCAAATATAAGATGATGAGAATCGTCGATGCAAATAGAAGATTAATCTTGAAGGCTCATATGTCTCAAAATAGAACCGTCAAGATCGAACTAAATGTGATAGAGCATAAGTGCCTTTCAACTGTAGCTAGCAGAGATGAATGGATATGGCATTATCGACTAGGCCATCTCAACTTCAGAGACATCAAAGATTTAAAGAAAAGAAATATGGTTTCAAGATTGCCAGAAATCGACATTCCAAATGAGGTATGTGAGGAATGTGTGCAGGAGAAGCAGCACAAGAATAGCTTCAGCAAGAAGTCATATACTCTGATGTATGTGGACCAATCCAGGTGGATTCAATTGGAGGTAATAAATACTTTGTTACATTCATAGATGATTTCAGTCGAAATTTATGGACTTACCTGATCAAGAAGAAAAGTGAATTGATCGAGGTATTTTCCAAGTTTAAGTCTATGGTCGAAAGATAAAGTGGTCGAAAAATAAAAGTTTTGAAAACTGATGGTGGTGGAGAGTATGTGTCAAAAGACTTCGACATGTTATGTGAAAAGGAAGGTATTGTGCATGAGGTGGTGTCACCCTATACTCTACAACATAATAGAACTGCAGAAAGGGAGAATCAAACCATCATGAATATGGTGAGAAGTATGTTGTAAGGCAAGAATTTACCTAAAGAGTTTTGGGGGGAAGCTGTTTCGACTGCAACATACATTTTGAATAGATGTCTACGAAGAAGCTATAAGGAATTACTCCAAAAGAATGTTATTCTAGTGTGAAGCCTAGCTTGATTCATCTGAAGGTATTTGGATCTATTACACATAGACATGTGTCAGATCAGTTGAGAAGAAAACTTGGTGACAAGATGAGTCAAATGATTCTAGTTGGATGTCATTTGACATGAGGTTACAAGTTGTTCGACCCAATGAATAAGCAGATTGTGATCAGCAGAGATGTGATCATAGATGAGCTTAAAGAATGAGATTTGACCGAAAATATCAAGAAAGATTAAGTGGGAATCCTACTTGAAGAACCAGAAACTCAAGTCAAAAGAGAAGTTCGACAAGAGGAACCAGTAGTTATAGATCAACCAAGTACAAGAAGACCTTAAAGAACAAGACACATGCCTGCAAGATTGCAAGATTGTGTGATTACATCAGATGATGTGATAGATAATGAAGGTAAGTTGGTACATTATGATTTCTATGCAGATGTTGAACCTATCAATGCAGCTGAAGCATTGAAGGATTCAAAGTGGGTGAAACCAATGAACAAAGAAGTAAAGTCTATCAAAGACAACAACACTTGGTCACTTGTCGAATTGCCTCAAGGCAAGAAGGCAATTGATATCAAGTGGGTATACAAAGTGAAGATGAATCCCAAAGGGGAAGTAACTCTACACAAAGTAAGGCTCGTGGCGAAAGAATTTCTACAGAAAGAAGGAATAGACTTCGATGAAGTTTTTGCACCTGTTGCTAGGATCGAAACAATCAGGTTAGTTGTTAGTCTAACAGAAATAAACAGATGGCACATATGTCAGATGGACGTGTAATATGCATTCCTGAATAGACCTTTAGATGAAGAAGTTTATGTTAAACAACCAGTTGGATTTGTGAAACATGACGAAGAGATAATAGGAAAAGATCACAGAGCAATTACCATGAAGATTGACAGTATGTCAGCTATCAATCTGGCGAAGAATCCGATAGCACATGGTCGAAGCAAGCACATCGAAATGAGGTTCCACTATCTTTGAGAGTAGGTAGCAGATGGGAAGATGAATTTGGAACACTGCAGAACTGAGAATCAGATTGCAGACATCATGATGAAGGGAGTGCAGATTGAAGTATTTCAAAGACTAAGAACCATGATGAGTATAGATAGTTTAGACACAATGAATTAGGTGGTGTATTAAATTGTAATTCATACTATCGAAACTATATGTGTCGAAGGGTTTATAGGTAGATCGGAGCAGGTTGCTCGAAGGAAGCCATTGCCCAATCGAAGAGCTTGTGGATCGAAGCAAACTGCACACATATTAGATTTGCTTTAGATTTAGATAGATTTGATTTACGTCTAAAATAAAATAGATTTGATTTAGTACTAAAATATGTATTTTGGGTTTTTGTAATTTTGGGCTTAGGAAGTAACCTAAATCTATAAATAGAAGGAGTAACCCCTAATTTTGTAATCAAGTCAATTAAGTTGCATTCACAGAGTTTGCAGTTGCAAGTGAATAACAAAGTTTTCCACAATTTTTAGGCAGATAGAAACTCTGCAGAAAATAATTGTCTTCTTTCTTTTCTTGTTTTTCTCATAATTCATTGTCATTGTGTAGAAATTCATCATAGATATTTGATGGATTTCCAACATTAATATAGGAATATAAGCCAAAATGTTAGAAGTCTCTAAACTATAAAAAATATCCTTTTTATGGACCACTTAATATTCATTAAGTTTAAACAATTTTTGGATATGGATAAACTCATTCATAAACAAATAAAATAGAATTGAAATAAATCATATTTATATACACAAATAATAATAATATTTGTTTTGAAGTGATCTAATAATTAGAATTGATCCAATCTGTTTCTATCTTTGGTACGGTTTAATAATAATAGTCCAACATCCTGATCGACCATGTCCTTAAAAATGCAATCAATAATGTCCGATACGCATCTCTGATCCAGCCAGTACGTATGTCTTCATCAGCCTGACACGAGTCGAGTAGACAACTAGAAAACGATCAGAACGCCTCTCTGCCCGTAATCCGGTCTTCCTCAAAATCAACGGCTAATTACGAGAATACATACCCGTTTTGATCGAGTCATGACAGTTATTTATTTTTACGGATCCACGTATCTAGATCCAAAAATAAGGACAAACGGTCAAGCACCGAAAGCATTATATAAACCATCACACATGTGAAGGTCAAATATCCATGATTCAAATCTTAAATCCTAATTGTTTCCATACTTACTTGATTGACGGAGTGTATTACATATACAACACATTTTTTTCTCTTCAACTATCCAATAAATCAGATATCATTCGTCGATCCACTAACATATTCTAATCAATCGATAAGATTATTAACATTATCTATTAAAAAAATATATTTAATAAAGAAGTTTATTGTGAAACAATGAGACAAATATATTGATTTTCCATTATTCAAATATATTTAATTGGATTCTGTTAATATGGGAGTATACTTCAAAATGCTAGAAGTCTCTAAACTATACCACTTAAATATTCATCGAGTTTAAACCATTTTTGAAGATATGGACAAACTCGTCCATAAACAAATAAAATAGAATTGAAATTAACCTTAGAAAGAGATTAACATTAGATTGCTGTCAATTGCGATTAACATTAGATTGCTGTCAATTGCATAGTAAAAGTCGTTGCAACCTTTCAATAATTAAAAAAGCTTATTTGTCCTTTTCAACATGTCCAGCTTCTCAATCAAAAACCCTTCTAGAAGCACTTATTATAGTTATAACTTTTTCACTCACAACTTGACCCCAATGCAATCACCATACCATACCCATGTGCATCCCTCTTTATTCATTTTCTTATCCTCTATAAATCCCAATCCTCAAACCTCTCCCCTCAACACACAACCCAATAACTTTATATCCACTTCACAACTTCTCTCATACTCTCTTCAAAAAAACTCAATCAAAAAAATAGTAACATATCTCAAACTCAAACTCAAACACCCCTTTTCTCTCTTTCAATCAAGTTTCAATTTTCACCTATAAATCTTGTCTTTTTTCAATAAAAAATCGTGGGTCTTTGTTATTTCATCATTTCATCTTCGTTTTCACTCTCAAATTTCAAGTTTTCCAAAGTTATTGTATCATGGAGCTTATTTCGGGTCTACCCGAAGATGTAGCCCGAGACTGTCTAATTCGGGTTTCATACCAACAGTTTCCGGCGGTGGCTTCGGTTTGTAAAGGGTGGAAGACAGAGATACATATGCCGGAGTATCACCGTCAACGGCGGAGAACCGGACATGCTCAAAGGGTTTTAGTTATGGTTCAAGCACGTGTTGAACCGGAAAAAACTGAAACCGGTTCGGCCAAAAGACTAAAAAACCCGATTTACCGGCTTAGTGTATTTGAACCGGAAAGTTGTAGCTGGAGTGAGTTACCGGCACCACCCGGTTATAGTTCAGGGTTACCGGTGATGTGTCAGTTAGCATGTGTTGGTTATGATCTTGTCGTGTTGGGTGGGTTAGATCCGGAAACATGGAAAGCATCGAATAATGTTTTTGTTTATAATTTCCTGTCGGCGAAGTGGCGTTGTGGGACCCACATGCCAGGTGGAGCTAGAACGTTTTTCGGTTGTTCGTCGGATGGTCGCCGGAATGTTTTTGTCGCCGGTGGTCATGATGATGAGAAGAACGCGTTGAAGTCGGCGTTGATTTATGATGTTGCGGCGGATGAGTGGGTTGAGCTGCCGGAGATGTCGTCGGAGCGTGATGAGTGTAAGGCGGTGTTCCGGCAAGGGAGGTTCGTTGTCGTCGGTGGTTATAGAACGGAGAATCAAGGGAGATTTGAAAGAAGCGCGGAAGCGTTTGATTTTGTGACGTGGAGGTGGGGCCAGGTTGAGGAGGAGTTCTTGGATTGTGCCACGTGTCCTATGACTTTGGTGGACGGTGGTGATGGTGGGGAGAGTGTTTATATGTGTCGCGGCGGGGAGTTGGTTACGATGAGGAGTCACACGTGGCAGAAGATGGGGAGGGTTCCGGATGAGATTTGCAACGTGGCGTATGTTGGAGCGTTTGATGGGGTTGTGGTTGTGATCGGATCAAGTGGATATGGGGAAGTGCATATGGGGTATGTTTTTGATGTGAGGAGGTGTAATTGGAGAAAATTGGATTGTCCAGATGGGTTTAAGGGTCATGTCCAAACCGGTTGTGTTTTGGAAATTTAGTGTTTTGGTTTTTGAATTTTGAATTCTACACTATCAATGGATAGTGATATTTTGGAGTAGTGGAAATCGAACTGTTTTTTTCCCAACCAATCACTATATTTGATGTATATGATGATTGAAGCAGTTATAGATTGTTAGAACCTTCTTTTTAAAATAATGTTTTGAAAATCAGATCAGAGTCTAATGATTGGAGTAGTTAAATATCAAGATTTTTTTGAGTAATGTTTTAAAAATTAATCAAATTTGAACAATTTAAATTAGTTAAATTGGTTTGATATCTGATTTGATTTTTAAATGTTGCTTTCAAGTTGTTGCTTGAACTACTTCCTTTTCACTCCTTTATAAAAGTGTTATGGTAACTGTTTTTAGTTAATAGGTTTGGGTTTTGACCTACTCCAATATTTTAAGGTAAAGGAAAAGGGGAGTTGAGCTTGATATAGAATATAGGTGAAATATATAAGTTTGCTATGTTAATAAATATAGTATTTTTATGGAAGTTCTGTTTTTGTTTTTATGAATGTCATTGTAAACCCTATTACGGGTTGTTCTTTGAAATGACAACTAGTTTTTTTTTTTTAAACAGCCAAAATTTATTTAATTATAGCACCAGAGATGCAAACAGAAAGAGAATTAAGGCTTAAAACACAGACAGAAACTGATACATGAATTCTACCATACAAAACAAATAAAAAATTAACCTGAAAATAATATATAGAGATCAAATCAAAGAACAACAAACTAAAAAAAATAGGCGAGGCCAACAGAGCCGCAGATCACCGCGACTAAACCAAAACAATGTTGAAATCAGTAGGTAGCCTACAATTGAAGCAAATGATGGACGGAGGAAGCAGCCCCAGAAACAAGATCGAGCGATGCACCATATTAGGACCAGAAAAATCGAATACTAAGAATCATGAATATCAACATATTAGGACCAGAAAAATCAAATACTAAGAATCATGAATATCAACATATGTTTTGGGATTAGTTCTCCATTGGGTATAATTGAATTTCACATTGAATACCAACACATGTTCTGAGATTAGTTCTTCATTGGGCATAATTGAATTTCACATTGAGATTTTTAATAGACAACCACCTCCAAGAATATTCAATAATGTTCTCAATCATCTTGTCAATTTCCACTTCTTTGTTGCAATTTTTTTTTTCTTCCATTATTAGCTTTCCAAATACTTCATATACAAGCAAACCAAATCACGCACACTTTCGACGACGTTTCTTTATCACCTTTATTGTTGGAGTTGGTTAAAAATATTCATATTAAAAAGTTTCACATTGATTAGTTTTGTGAAGAAAGAGCGAGCCCAAGGGTCAAAGTTATATATAAGATTAAAGTTATTCTAAGTCTCGCATCGCTTAATTTAGTGATGGAAGAGAGAATCCAAAACTATATATAGGATTTAATTTTTTCTTTACAAGATGTACCAGTTAAAAATACTTTAAGTTTGTATTTGACTTTTTTGTTCTCTTATGTTCTTGTATTAGAGTGTTATGAGATGTAGTTAAATATTTGTTTTGGAGGGTGTTGATGTATTGGAGAATGTGTTAGTTGAGGGTATATATGTGTTGTAACAATTTTCACATAGTGTTATTCTCTGGTTATCTATTGACAACGGTCGTGATGTTTTCTCCGTTTTGGAGCTTCCACGTTATATCCTTGTGTTGTTATTTTGTTCCTCCTTTCTCTATGGTTTATTTTTTCCAACAACTGGTATCAGAACTTTTGGTTCGATCCAGAGATATGCGTTCTTAGTATGCTATGTGGTTACAATTTTGTCAGATCTTCCACATCAGAAAAGAAGGGTAGTGTTGTGAAAAAGTTGTTGAGCTGCACTCACAAATTCCGCTGTACAGTTTGGGCTAGAGAAAATTGATGAATTTTTTTTTTACTTGTGAAAAGTTCAAGTCAAAAATCTGTTGATACAATCAAGATTACAGAAGATGCAAGATTATGTCGATGGTTGAAGAGCTTTCTGCCAACAAGGAAGTTGCACCATAAAGTTTCAACCTGATTTTCGGCATGTGAAATTTTTTGAAGTGGTTTAGCTTCAAGTGAAGTATACTCTTCTTTAGGTAGAATATGACAGTTTTTAAAACTATGATTGTCGGTGAAGACAATGTGAAAATTCTTGGAGTCGTGTAGCTTCAATTAAATATACTCTTTATGGTGGAGTATGATTGCCGGTGAAGACAATGAAAGCTTATGTATTATTTTCAATCAAGATGGAGATTGTTGGGGTTGGTTGAAAATATACATATTAAAGAAGTCCTACATTGGTTAGTTTTGTGAAGAAAGAGGGAGTACAAGGCTATATATAGGATTAAAGTTATTCTAAGTCCCACATCGCTTAGTTTAGTGATGGAAGAGAGAATCCAAGACTATATATAAGATTCAAGTTTTTTTTACAAGATGCACCAGTCAAAAGTACTTTAAACTTGTGTTTGACTTTCTTTGTTTCTCTTACGCTCTTGTATTAAAGTATTGTGAGATGTAGTTAAATATTTGTTTTGGAGGGTATTGATGTATTGGGGGCCTAGGTTAGTTGAAGATATATTATGTGTTGTAACAATTTTCACATAGTGTTATTGTCTGATTGTCTATTGACAACGACCGTAGTTTTTTCTCCGATTTTGGAGTTTCTATGTTATATCCTTGTGTTGTTATTTTGTTCCTCTTTTTCTCTATGGTTTATTTTTTCCAACACCAATCAGTCCTTCAAATTGAATAAAATGAGCCGTAATTTCTCTATGGAGGGTGGAGGGCAGTTGATATCCACAACCAGTTACAAACAAAGTACCAAATACCTGAAAAAGAAGGACATTCAAAAAACAGATGAGATATAGTTTCATCGGTCTCGTATTCCCTGATGTACCTAAGAGATCCTGGACCGATGACATTCCTTCTAAAGAGATTATTCTTTGTAGCTAAACTATTCTGAAATAGCCTCCAACCAAAACATGTTACTTTCGATGGAATCAATTTGTGCCAAGCCTTAAGCTAGATAAAATTAGAATGATTAGGCTCATTACCGCTTAATTTCTTATACACCTCTTTAACAGAAAAGTAATTCAAATTTTCCCATTCTCCTATTTCTATATCACAATCTCTTTTCCACTAAATTGAATCTTTGCTGCTAGAAATACCCCTCATAACCTCTACCTCCCCGTATCTGTTCTTCAACACTTTTATCCATAATCCGTATCTTTCTGATTTGACAACTAGCATTCTTGTTGTCGTAAATTTTACAAATTTTATGTGGATTCTTGTTTTAGATGCAATCGTGTTCAACGGGTTGAAGTCATGGCACATTCTCGAGGCTTATCTATTTAGTTATGTTTTGAGGTCTTTGTGAGTTTTACAAAATTTTACTATGAGGCTAAATAATCACTTCAATCGATAAATGTGTAAAGATATAAATTTATATGGTAGTTGAGTAAAGACGGTTGAGAATCAAGTATGAGAAAGAAATTTTATATCGATTAGAACATAGAAGATTGAATATTTTATAAGTGAAAGAACTCACATATCTATCACCTTAGGGTCCGCTTGAGAGTTGGTTTTTGGAGGGTTTTTGAGGGGGAGACTTTGGAAGGTTGTGTGTAAATCTTAAAACGTGTTTGATATTTTTAAAAAGTTTAAAAAATAATATGATTTTATATGCTAATGTAGCATATTGTTTTTTAAAATTTTTAAAAATGTCACACATATATCAAGATATAGACGTAATCCTCCACAACATCTCCCTCCAAAACTCTTCAAAAACTAACTCGCAAACGGACCCTTAAAATTTTAGATAAATATGTAGTGTCTCTCACTTGTGTGTTGTTCTTGATTCAAGTTAAATACTCTCTCGTGTTGATCTCCTAAATTTCTTCTAACAATGTGTTAATCTTAATCCAAGTTAATGTAATCGGCGACATCTCAGTTACTTATTTTTATTTATTTTTGGAAGATAAATTTTCAATTATTGATTTATAAAAAATAAAAATAAAAATTGTTTTATAGTACTAGCAAGTTGTATATTTCAACTCTTACAAAATTAATTTCTTCAATATAATTTTTTGTTTTGTTTTTCGTTTGTCTTAAAATACACGTTAACATTTGAAAAAAAAATAATTCTTTCTTCATTTCAAATAATTGAGTTAGTTTAAAACTGGTATAACTGTTGCATTTTTTTTTTGTTAGAATTTCATTTTCTTGTTTGAGTAATGTTTTTTTTTTTGTTGTTATCCTATAATTATTAAGTTAGGAAATGTGTAGAATTTATCTTAACTAAATTTAACATGTAGCGTGCACTAACTAACATTTTTGGAGGAAGAGTTGAATCCAAGTCAAGTTTAGCGTGAGTGAAAAGTTTAACTATTTCTGTTAATCTAATTGATGTTTGATTGGTAACTTAATTGCATTTATTAATGTCAATTTCTTTTATTAAAAATAAATGATATTTATTCAAATAGAATATATGGATGTAATAAAATTGTTAAAAATAAAAATGATAAATTTGTGAATAAATTCACAACATTCATGTTAATAATATAAAATGATAAATTGTATTAAGATGTCCGAAATATTCATACTTTCGGATATGTAGCGTTAATGACATCAAAGTTATTAATTAGATCTGCATTAGATCGAAATTAGTCTTTTAATCAGAAACAAATGAATACTGCATTAAGACGGAAAAATAAAATATCCCGCACAAAGACGAGAAATCAAAATACACCGTACAAATACGAAAAATCAAAATAAACAATGATCCATGAAATAACAAAAAATACAAAAAAAACACTAAATATATGTGAAAATTACTTATTTAACTAATAGAAAAACAAAAACGATTTAGAGAAGTGATTTTGGATCAAAATTGATCCTAAATTACCCCTCTTTAAGAGAAGAAGAAAAAGAAGAAAATTAATGTCAAATAAATATTAAGTAGTATGAATTCATTTATAAAAATGTTATTAAAAAATAATTTTAC